TTGTGGACCGCGGTTTTGACGGGTCACGATAAGCACTATGGTCAACTCAGTTATCTTTGCTGTCACTAACAAAATAATTTTGTTCAAGATTTAAATAATTGTGTTTAAATGTAAGTCATTAAATTTGGATGCCTTTTGTCAGGTCATCTGACTAACCAGGTCTGTTTATATCTCTTTTTAATTCAACCAACAAATAAAAAATAAAACCAATAATTTTATAAATATATGTTTATACGTACCTGTTGTCTTGTAAATATTTGACAAACCAAATAAATTAAAAATAAATAAATAAAAATATACTAGAATGTTTTGTTATATAACACCCAGCGTGCTGCATGACTTATTGAGAAAGTGAGGAGGGGAATTATTAATATTGGTTTAAAAATATCCCATTAACTTCAGGATCTCAAGTAACCATTCCCATATATTTTTTTGTTGGCAATCAAGCAACAATTACTTTTTCTTTTTTGGTAAATGCAGATTCTATAGTAACTGGCAAGAGTATTGAGGTAACATCTCTCTTTGGAGTTTGTCTCCAAATTTTGACTTCAGTTAACCTCAATACACACACACACACACATATATACATACATACACACATACATACATATACATACATACATGCATACATACATACATACACATAATAGATCCCCAGTGAAATAGCCTCCAAACATGTCGGGCTACAAATTCCATGCTGGTTGGTATTGATGGGACCTAGAGACACGCAGACTGACCAGGGGTCGGCAAACTTAAACACTCAAAGAGCCATTTGGACCCATTTCCCACAGAAAAGAAAACACTGGGAGCCACAAAAGTCCTAACCGAAAGCCCCCTTCAATTCTGGAGCTGACCGGAAGTTCAGTTCCCCCACCATAGAGTCTCCTAGCGCAGCATACTTTTTCCTCTACCTGTCATAACCGAAAGCCCTATCAATTGTGGAGACAATTGGAAAACCCTCCCCTTGCCGTAGAGTCTTTTCATGGCACACTCTGCTTCCCCCCCCCCTGGAAACTCCTCTCAAAATTGTGGCACCAACAGATGACAGAGCCGCAGCAGAGGGAGGAAAGAGCCACATGTGGCTCCAAAGCTGCGGTTTGTGGACCCCTGTTCTAGACCAATAGCATACCTGGGAGGAAGATGAAAGTTGATGTTCATCACACCTGAACAGCAAACAGGTGGGAAAAGTCTAATGTATAAACTCCTATTTAAAGGAAGACACTTTTAAAATACACAGCTGTTGATTTTCCCTCCCTCCAACCAAGTGGAATTAATTGAATTTTCTGAGAAACTGCAGGCAGGACCTGGCTTGACACAAGCTGTGTAAATTGCTAAATAAAGAGACAGGAAGTTTTATTAAATGATTCTTCTTTGGGGACTAGCCAGTCCTGCTTATTTATCTAATTTTATTTTCTTAATCCCTTCTCATCCTCATCCTTCGAAAAAAAAATAGTTTCTTGCCAAGATATTCTGTGTATTTTCAATACCATCTGATCCAAAATAAACTTTGAAAGCCTACCCACTGAAAAAGGAAAAACAGTATTCTGCAGAATTGCTCTGAAAAGAGTTGTAGTGCTAAACATGAAACCCACCTGGCTTTACCATTATAGCAGCCTGGGAACAGCATAATTGAAGGAATTCATCCTGTGCCAGAATAAGCACTTGCAGATATATCAGATATTTTAGCTGCTATAATGCAGTAACAAAAAAAAAAGTTTGAAGCCCAATGAAAACGGGGAAAATGACTTTGCAGTATTCAAAATTGTTTGTTCAGTCCAGTTCCAAAAATGGCCAATGTTGGAGATTTCTAGAAGTTGTAGTTGCAGTAAATCTTGAGGTAACCAGGTTTTGGAAAGTAAGAGACTTAGGAAAAACGAGGTTGTGGAATCCTTGGTGTTCCCTGACCTTGGTTGTTTTCTTGCAGATGTTTCGTTGCTCAACTAGGCAACATCATCAGTGCTAGAAGGGAGTGAGTTTTGCTCTCTTTTTCCATAGTATACCTGTCACTGTTGGTGGGAGAGTTCTTGGTGGGTCCTTGATTAGGCTGTTGTTTACCGTGACCCGTCAAAACCGCGGTC